AATTCACTTATGAGATAAGTTCCCACTATGATTTAATTTGCCATTGCTCCAATTCTCCACCACCATTCCCCTTCCTCCCATTTCCAACCCATAATAATTGGTCTCTATTGGATAATTCACTATTATTTTCATTCCCCTGGGAATGGTGAATTAGCCAGAGTTTACTATAGATAAGGACCTAGATTTGGCCAAACTGAAGATACTGCCCTCCCATGACAAGATGTAAAAGATCACTGCAAATGTTTTATTCCCTTGACCGCCGATAACTAGTAATGTCAACCCATCTCCCCATTTCTCAGAGGTAATACCAATATTGAATCAGCAGAAACTCACCCCCCTTCAACAACTCTCCAAGTTATCTTCATAACTCTCAGAATTGCCACATAAGTACTTTAGACAGAAAAATGGACGTCATTCCCCAAACTAGATAAACTGCTTTTTCCACATGGTTAAGTTTTCAGTAGAAGTGGGTGGGTTGCTGAGGCCTGCTTACCTTTTGCTTTCTATCTTTCTTTTTTAATAAATGTGACATAGCCGTATATTTTACCACTGTTTTGTGTGAAATGCAAGAGTAGATTAGTATAAGTAGCTGAAAGTACATCTGAAAGGCAAGAGTATATCCTGAGCCAGGTAAAAAACAACATATGAGAAACCAAAGCCAAAAGGCACAATTACTTAAATCTTCAGATTTGACTACTGTAAGCCTGGGGTGTCAACCATATGGTCTGTGGGACAGATCCAATCCATGTAGCTGCTTCATCCAGCCTGCCAAGCTACTGCAAATGATGGGGTGGGGGGAGGAAAGAGAGTTAGTCAGCCACAGAATCTAAGGTCCCTGATGGACACGGCCACTGGCAGCAAAAGAGCGAGTGAGGACTATGCTAACACAGCCTGCCTTCCTTAACCAGCAGGTACCACTCCTGCCACTGCTTCCCCTACAGCTGCTGATCCTGCTGCAGCCACTGCTGCTGCCACCACCACCACCCCCATACCACACACCTAGATCCAGCCTAGGGCACAGGGTCAGTTTTACAGCCATGTTAGCCATTAGTAAAGCCAGAGGACTTCAGTGCACTTTTAGTTCTGACAATATTCCTTCAACATGAATATACCACAGTGCAATGAAGTAAAATGATAAATATTAATAAATAAGGCGTTCTGAGAGAAAGACATCAGGGTAGGCAACTTTAATGAAAGCAGTCTCTAGTGTATGTCTGGATCATCACAGACAGTCTAACATGTCAGCATTACACGACTACCAAAAATATGAATCTTATAGTTCCACCAAGTCAAAGTC